GTGGGATTTAAAACTTAGCGACAAAAAAAGATTACAATGTTCATAATTAACATACAATCTTTTATTATATGCTAACTTATACGGCCTTATTTCTTGATGCTTAGAAAATTCATGAATTGCAACTATTTCTTGATGAAAAGAATTATTACAAGTCTACTAATACTATTTGTGTTCCTCTGTATATATACACAACTATTAAAGAATAGCTAATAAGAATAACTATCAAAATTGAATAACTAAATCAGTTATTAACAGAAACTACTCTAACAGACTTCTTTCATTCTGTTGCGATTGGTTGGCCATATACAACAACCATCTGAAGTGGAGTTAGTTACTGTATTTGAGTTGTGTGAAGCTTGTGAGTCATCTGAAGTTGGACTTGGGCTATTTATATCTTCATTGGGCTTTATGGGCTGTATTACCCCCCCCCCCCCACGAGTTGGACCGTGAAAATTGACAAGGCCCAACTTGGTGATAGCAGACCGAAATGCAGTGGGAGGAAGAGCCTTTGTGAATGTATTAGCTAGTTAACCAGAGGAAGTGACAGGAAGTAATCGGAGAAGACCAGTTTGAAGTTTTTCACGTGTAACATGACAGTCGATTTCGATGTGTTTAGAGCGTTCATGGAATGTAGGGTTATGTGCAAGGTAAATAGCTGAATTATTGTCATAGAACACTGATGCAGGCTTGGGCCAAGGAAGAAGAAGGTCATGAAACAGGTGTTGAAGCCACTGGATTTTGCAAGTGAGCATGGCAAGGGATTTGTATTCCGCTTCAGATGAGGATCGAGATACAGTGGATTGTTTCTTAGATCTCCATGCAACTAGAGATGATCCAATGAAGATGCAAATACCAGATATAGATCTGCGAGTATCTAGACAGAAGGCCCAATCTGTGTTTGAAAATGCCTTGACATGGATATCAATATTGGAAGAAAAGAAAAGGCCAGATGCAGGAGCACCCTTGATGTATCGAAGAGCACGGAGAGCAGCTTGATGATGAACATCCAATGGACATGATACAAACTGACTGAGTTGCTGAACAGCAAAGCACAAATCAGGTCGAGTAGTGGTTAAGTACAACAATCTGCCCACTAAACAACGATAAGAGGAAGGATCTGACATCTGAGTACCGTTGGTGCGACTTAAATGTGAAGAAGCTTCCATTGGGGTATTGCTAGGTTTGGCAGCCAGCATACCCATGCCAGAAAAAATTTCGAGTGCATATTTGCGCTGGTTGAGGTGAATGCCGTGAGAAGTATGTGATACTTCAAGTCCTAAGAAGTAACAAATGGGACCAAGGTCCTTTATTCGAAACTTATCATGTATAAATGCTTTAACTCGAGCAATTTCATATGGAGAGTTTCCTGATACGACAACGTCATCCACATATATGAGAAGTACAGTGAAAGAAGAATCTGTTTGTCGCGTGAACATAGAATGGTCTGCTTGACCTTGCACATAACCAAGTGAAATAAAGGCAACAGGTAGCTTGTTGTACCATTGTCGGCTTGCTTGTTTCAGTCCATATAGGGACTTGTTCAATTGACAGACTTGATTAGGCTTGGAGACTTGCAAACCTTGAGGTATAGCTATGTAAACTTCTTCAGTTAAGTCACCATGAAGAAAAGCATTATCTACATCAAGTTGTTCAAGAATCCATCCTTTAGCAGCTGCCATAGCAAGAAGGACTCTGATAGAGGTGAGTATTGCCACCGGAGAGAATGTATCAAAGAAGTCAACTCTCTCTTGTTAAGTTAAGCCTTTGGCTACGAGTCTGGCTTTGTATCTTTCAATTTCTCCATCAGAATGGTATTTTATCTTATAAATTCATTTGCATCCGATAGGAATCTTGTTTTGTGGAAGATCAATAATAGTCCAGGTGTCATTTCTGGCTAATGCATTTAGTTCAACATCCATGGCATGCTTCCATTCATTGGATTTAACAACTTGGGAAAAAGAACGTGGTACTGTGTGTGTTGTGACGTAAGGCAAAAAAATTTGTAGGATGGGGTACATGAGTAATAAGATACAACAGCTGAAAGAGGGTGATTAATAGAAGAATTATCAAGTATACCTGGACGTGATTGAGAATTGTGAGTAGAGGATAAACTGCAGTGGTAATAAGCAAGATATGTAGGAGTTGAACGTAAGCGTGATGATCTTCGAGGAACATGTTGTGGAACTTGATCATTGATGGTGCTGTGTGGAGGATCATAAATGAAATGATCAGGTTGGACTTGGGTTGTTTGTGGATGACTTGGGCTATTGGGTACTTCATTGGGTTGAGTAACAGGTTGTAGAGTATGTGAATAGGATGGCAAATGGTCATTTATGTAATCAATAGTTTGGTTGGGATCTGGTATAAAATGTTGAGATGGATTGGATGTTTGTGGGTTATTTGAATCCGGACGATATGTGGGGGCAAAAGGAAAGTGAGTTTCATGAAATATAATATGACGGTAAACAAAAATCTCATTTGAGGCTAAGTCGTAAAGTAAATAACCTTTGGTTCCTTCACAATGGCCCAATAGTACAAATTTTCGTGCTCTTGGTGCAAATTTATTCTTGTTGGCTGTAAGTGTTGATGCATAAGCTAAGCATCCAAACACTCGAAGGTGTAAAAGAGATGGTGGTTGGCCAAATAGCATTGTGTAAGGTGAGTTGTTGTTGAGGGTAGTGTGCATAATCTGTTAATCAAGTGTACTGCATAAATAACAGCATAGGCCATAAGGTATTTGGGATATGAGCTTGGAATGAAAGAGCACGTGCCACATTCATTATATGTTGATGCTTTCGTTCAACTCTATCGTTCTGTTGTGGGGTTTCTACACAGCTGCATTGATGGACAATCCCTTTCAAATAATAAAATTCTGTCATAAAGAATTCTGGGCCATTATCTGTTTGCAAGGTCTTGACATTTACTTTGAAATGGTTTTGGACAAACTAAACAAAAGCTTGAAGCTGTTTTCGTGTTTCAGATTTGCATTTCATCAAAAAAAAAAAAAATATCCACGTGAATCTTGAATAATCGTCCACCAATGTCAAAAAGTATCTATGACCATGGATGGAAGTGGTAGAATAGGGACCCCATATCAGCATGTAGGAGCTCAAACATCATGCTGCTTTTATTTTCACTTAGAGGAAAAGTCAATTTTCTTTGCTTGGCCATATGGCAGACATCACAAGGTTTAATATGAGATGAAGGTACAAATGGAAATTGAAGAGACATGGATTGATAAATTCTCTTTGAAACATGACCTAACCATAGATGCCATAACAAAGATGCATCTTTTGAAACTTTAAGTTATTTTTAATTCTAATCATTACATTTAAATTTAGAAATATTCAATATACTAACTACAACAGTAATTATATACTACCTTCTTTATTAAATTTAAAAAAAAAATGTAATAATTTTTTTTTTATAGATTTTAAAAGACTATTTAGAATTGGAGGGACTTTAAAGACTTATTTTACAATCAAAATTTTATAAGATTGGATTTTAAGGAACTTTAAAAGAATTTATAAGATTTAAAAGGACAATATGGATTTATAAAATTTTAAAAAATCATATGAATTTTTAATAAACATTTAAAATTACAAGAGTCAATAAAAAATAACAAAGAAATGCAATGACATTAATAAAAAAAGAAAAATCTAATATAATTTTATCAATCAGTAAAACATAATATAATTTTTGACACATATTCAAAATTACTAAGTAACAACTCTCCATATATCTAAAGTTGTACTAGTCCACGTATTAGTATTTTCTTGTTCCTGTTCTTGGATTTGACTAATGGGTTGAAAATTATTTTCTTCATTTGGTATCAGATCTATGCATATATATGATTATAAGACCCAATTTTCTTATTTATTAAAATAATTCTAAATTTGTATATAGAACCTAATGTTCATGATAAAATTTTGTTTGGAATTTTTTGCAATTGATCCGGGAAACATTGAGGTTTTTGGTCTATGTGATGAGAGTTTTCTAACCATGTTTTTATTGAGTATTCTAAGAAAATTTTGAATCTGAATTTCTGAGTTTTATTACATGAAAGTTTAGAAATTTTCTCAAATTAATTTCAATCAATATATTGAAACCTTAAATTGTTTTGAGATTTTTGAAAAACAAGTATTTAGTTATTTATTGACATAAAAATTGTTTGAAATCGTTTCCTATAACGAAAGAATTTCGTTCATGAATTTATTGTTACGAAATATAGGATTTATATCATGAAAGTTTCAATCTTTCTTTAAATTGATATTGTTTCATTGATGTAAAACAAAAATTGGTTTAAGAGTTTTAGTTTCCCTGTTATTTTTTTACTGTTTTATGTTGTTTTTAATACAAAAATCACACATTTTTATGCCAAGAAAAATTGTGACCCATAACTTGAAAATTATTTTTTAAACTTCCAAAGGTTTTTTGTTTTTGAGATAGATTATATTAGAATCTTGTTGGTTTGTTGTTTCTGGGTTATTGTGTGATGAAAATCGTTAAAAAATTGGTTGTTTTTGAGTTTTGTTGAAACTCCCAGGGTGGAATCCGATTTTAAGCGGGTCAACCCGTCAAAAGAAGAAGAAGACACTGCAATACAGAAATGTTAATAAATCATAGGGATTATAGTGAGATTGTAAAAGAGATATCTTATTTATATTTTTCACTAAAAATTCTCACAAAATTCACACTAATAAAAAATTCATTAAAATCGTCATATTTTTAAATACTAGAATTGTTTTGTTTTTCCTTTGTTTATAATATTGATTGAATATCAACGGATTTAGACGGACTTTAAAACAATTTTTTAAAATTTTAATTAAATAATACGTGATTTTTTTTTCAAACTTTTAAAATTTTAATTAAATATCAATAAATTTTTTTTTCCAAAAATAATTCATTAAAATCTCAATCCAATAGACGTGATTGTAATACTTGTACAAGAATCTTTGGTCAATGTTTGGTTTATTTTGAGATAGGTTAGCTTGAATACAGTAGCGGGGTGGCGTTTATAAATGGTTATGCCAATTCCAAAGTGACAAGTCTCGATTTGAACGAGTCTTGAAGAGCAAGTGAAAGCTGAATTCAACCCACCACCGTCTCAACATAGTTAAACCCAACCAAACCTTGTTCTGTTTATCATCGAAACAACCTCGTCCATCGAAATCCACAAGTACAAGGAGGCAACGACACAGACACAGACACCGACACCGACCCAAACAGAGTGATTATCATAATGGCATACGTGGATCACGCGTTCTCGATTTCGGACGAGGATTTCATGATGGAAACCTCGTACACCGTCAATAACAAACCCCCCATCAAGGAAATCGCCCTCGCCGTTTCCCTTCTCGTCTTCGGTACCCTCGGCATCATCATCGGTTCTCTCATGGCATACAAACATGTCGGTGGTGACACTGCTCACGGTAACAAACACCATTTTTTCTTCCTTTTCTTCCATTTGGGTTTTCTTAAGGGGAAAAAATATCTTAAATTTCTGATCAGAGAGTACTAATTGTAATTGGGTAGCTGGAAAATTGAGGGGTCTAGTAAAGTTGAAAACTTTTTGCCATGTTTTACAAATTTGCTAATTTGGGCTTTTTGGTTGATTTTAATTTTTGTTTGAATCTTTGATAGGGCTGTTCTTTGCAATACTGGGAATGATCTTGTTCATACCGGGTTTCTACTACACGCGGATTGCATACTATGCTTACAAGGGATACAAGGGGTTCTCTTTCTCTAACATACCTCCAGTGTAGCTATTTGGCCATCTGTCATAATTTAAGTTCGCATAGCGTCTTCATGTACAGATCTTCCCTGCTTGTACTCTACGTTCTTCCTTCGTTGTGTTTTCTTTTTATTTTTCGTTTTTGTTTTGCCTTATAAAGATATGTGTTTAGATTGTCATTACTCTGAATGATATACTGCTACTCATTAGTCACTACTGCTAAGATTTTGTTCTATAGAGTCAATAGTTCTGCTATAAAATCCTTTTTTGCCATTGGTGAATGTAGATAGTTTCATTTTCTGTATGATTATAAGCCTGGGTGAATAGAAGCACAATTTGAGTACTTATTTCTTTTTTCCTATTCCTAACTTGATATTTGTTTGATTCCATTGTTCTGTACTTGCCACATCAGCTGGTCTGCAAGTGAGTTATAGGAATTTCATTTTATCACCTGTTTTTGTAATTTATTCTCTCCTTTTGTTCTTTTAAATGGAATCTCATGGCATCTTCTACCACTTGAAACGAGGGTAGAAAGTCAGATGATGGGTCCTATATGTGCCAACCTTTAATGCATATGCTTCTTCATCATTTGACAATCTATGATTCATTGATATCTGATTTTGCTCTAACTGAATCAAGGTTGCGTGTTTTCGGCAACTATTTGGGAACTTGGGAGATTATTGACTTAATTACTTATATGGAGGTATGCTTGCAAATAGCAATGATCAATTTCACGAGCTCAATTTGCCAATTGATTCAAACCTCATTGTAGTCTTCATATTCTTTCTTTAGATTGGCTAACAAGATCTTTGGCAGCTATGCTAATCACAATGGGTGTTTTGGGAAGAGAAAAGAGAACCAAGGGGAAGGGGGGAGAGAAAGGAGAGGGGGGGGGGGGGGGGGTGTTTGCATTTAGATTTAGATGTTGGGAGATGGAACAGTCACAACTTTTTCTCATTTGAGTTCTGCATCTTGGACTATTCCTGTGTATATGATTTAGAAAATCATACTCATCCAGGTAGATGTTAGGACTACTTCTTTGAGGTTTTAAAAACCATTTATAATATCAATCTCCCTATCATGTCAGTTATATGTGCACGGGGAAGATTGCTTTCGAAAGATCTTGCAATCAAACAGATGGTTAAGCCTTGTATTACCCAGTAGTAAGTATATTATCATTGAATTTTAGCTCAAGCTGTAGCCATGTTAGTTTATCAGAGCTAAGGTTTATTATTCAGAAAATCACAAGTCTTTTAAGGTTAAATCCATGATTTGAAATACATAGGAGTGAAATGCCTTAATGAATTGATTGTCAATTGTGCTAGACAAGTTACTTAGAAAAGCGTAGTAGACAGTTAGACGAGGTTACTATAACTTATAGACAGCAATTGAATGGTGTATTGGACTAATGATTCCTAAACAAGACAATTAGACAAGGTTACTATAACTTATAGACAGCAATTGAATGGTGTATTGGACTAATGATTCCTAAACAACTACACCTGCGGTATGATATTTTGTTGGGGGCTGTTGAGAACACCACAAGTGAATGATGTCACAGAAGATGTGATAGCCTTAAAAGTGAGTGTGATGTGATATGTTCACAGTTCAACTGAGGTACTACGTAAGATAAGCTCACCATATACTTTAATAATATTCTCTTCTGATTACACTTATGTCACTTGTAATCTTTCCTCATATCTCTCAACATCTATATAAATTTTGACTATATGATAGGTGCTGGCCTCTCCAAAACTTATGCATACCACTTGTAGATGTTGTCATTCATACAAGTGTGAAACTACACCTCTTCTTGCTAAGGCGATATTCGTTTAATGTTTAGCAACAATAAAGTATGTTACACAACTGGATGTCTCACCTTGTTTATTAATGTGATGTGTCGCGTTCGGTTTAGATATGGCAGTGTTTACTTTTGTTTTAATTCTTACACAAAATCAGCTTTTGACAATATAAAAATAGAGGGTATTACTTGTGGAAAGCAAAAAAAAACACTATAGGTGTGGAATGACAACTTTTCTGAATTTTTTTTTTTTTTTAATTTCTCTTTTCGGGAACAGAAATGGATAGAAAACTTGTTTGGTAAAATCGGTTTATGTTTTTGTTCTCGGGATGAATTGGTTTAATTTTTATGCTGAAGAACAGAAAAAAATCGATTTTTTTTTTTTGATTTTTTATTTCCGGACACAAAATTAAAAACACTTATTCCTCTCAATTACTCTTCATCACTATTATCATCACCATCACCATTATCCCGACATGACTACCGCCACCATCGTCGTTGTACCACCAATGTCGTCGTCATCACCACCATCACGACGATGCCATCGCCATCATCACCACTGTCACGATGCCATCGCTACCACCTCCACCCATCGCCACCATCACAACCACCATGCTGCCGTCATCACCACCACCGCTACCACCATCACCACTACCATTACCGTAACCGCCACCACTGTCATGAACCACCACCACCATCATCGCAGCCACTGCTGTCACCACTATAAAGCCACGACTTCCACCACTGTCACCAATCACCACTACTATCTCCGCAGCCACTGTAAATTCTTTTAAAAATCCACCACTTCCCTCAGTGGGTTACCAAAACTCGAGTCTACTCGATTGGTCTGATCAAGGTTTTAAAACACTAACTTAAACAATAATTTCTTATTTTTCTTTTACTAAAAATGAAAAAAAAAAATTGAAGCTTACATGACATTTTTTTTAATTATAAAAAAATTGACAAATTTAAATTTTGTGAGAATTTTTTTTTGAAGGGGATATTTGTCCTTTTAGGCTTCGTGGGAGTTTGAAAAGGAATGAAAGGAAAATGATCCAAGGTAATGGGAGGGGAAGGAAGGGAAGGGAAATGAAGGGTATTCTATTCCCTTGTTTGAGAGTTAAAAATAAGGTAAAGGGAAAAAATAGAGGGTTAATGAAATATTTTCTACAATTATACCCATTTTAAAAAATTAATATAATATTATATTTTATAAATTAAAATAAATCAAAAAATTTTACAAAAATTATTTATGTACTTTTCTCTCTTTTAAAAAAATCATATTTTTGCCAAAATTTTTCCATTGCAAATGATGAAAATTTTGTCAAAAAATACTTTTGTGACGGAAATTTTCGGTCGAAATGTGCTTCGTCCAAAGGCGAAAGTTAGTATTCGTCAAAAATCTTGCTTTTATATCAAAAAATAAAGTATTAACATAATATTTATTTAATGAATTTCGTCGAAAATTTTCAAACGTATTGATAACATGAGGTGAGGTTTCATGCGGATTGATGACATATTTTTTTTTCGAAATTTTCGATGGAAAAAATCTTGTCAAATTTTTTTGACTAAAAATCAAATTGGGTACAAATTTTGTCAAAAATTTCACGCTAATTGATGACACAAAAAAATTCTGGCAGAAATTTTTGATGCAAAAAAAAAAATCCGTTGAAAATCTCCACATAGATTGATAATATAGATTGGTTTTGCATTTTTTTTTTTTACAAAATTCGACAAAAAAATATTTTGTCAAAACTCTTGAAAAAAGTTATTTTTCGTCAAAAATTTTGACAAATTATTTTTTGAATATTTTTGAAAGAAAAAATCCATAAGTTTTGACTGAAAAATATTTTGAAAAATATTATCGACTGAAAAAATAACTACGTTGAAAAGTTTTTTATGGAAATGTTTTTTGTCAAAAATTTCGACTGAAATGTTTTCTGTCAAAAATTTCAACTGAAATGTTTTCGTCCAAAATTTCAACATAAATTTTTCCGTCGATAATTTTTGTCAGTGATTATGACCAAATTTTGTTCCGTCTCTAATTCTGACTCTTTCGGCGGAAATTTTTTTCCAACAAAAATTTCCATTAGTGATTATGATCAAATCTTGTTCTGTCTTTATTTTTGACATAATATGATTTTCATAAAAAATTTCATCCCCATTTTTTATGGAATATTTTCTGTTGATAAATTCTGTTTGTATTTGAGACTTTTTTAATATTGTCATATTTAAAAAAAAATGATTCATATTTATGTAGATTTCACATTTTAATGCTAAGGGAAAATAAGTAATTTTTAATATTTTTCCCTTCAATCTCCCAAATTGGAGGAACCTTGGTTTTAAGGGTGAGAAGAATTTTGAAAGATTTTACAAAAATCATCAATTTTCTTCCCCCATTTTTTTAACTCACTAACAAAGAAAAGGTATAATAAAATATGGGAAAAACTATTCTTATGTCACATGACATAAGTTTTTTCTCCTACACACCATTCGATAACTGTGCCACCTTTTTCTTTTCTTTTCTTTTATTTTTCAGGTGGTGGAGCCCACTAGTTTGTCTCTATGACATGAGATAACTATCTCCTTTAACATGAGATTAATAAAACCCATAAAATATTCCCCTTCCTTTGCTTTTCCTCCTAAGACTGACTCACAAGTCACAAACAACCCCTTACTAAATAAAAATTCAACGTAAACAATATAACTTGCCTTGTAATTTTTTAAAGGGAAATACATTTTTTACGTTATTTCCCTCATTATAATTAGAGATTAATATTTTTTATGTTAAAATTATGAATTATCTCTTACATCTAGATAAAAATATGTAGGGCCATAAAAACAGAAGATAGAATAAAAAATGAGTTTCATATATTTTTATACGTTTATAAGAAATAAAATTATTTTATATAATACGATTAAGATTAATCCCCTAAAATTAAGTTATTCTTTAGTATAGAGTAACCGGACCTAATAAAAACGCCCGTTTGCGTGGTCCGCGTGCAAGTTATGTATCCATCCTAGTGATCGCATCGCACGGCGCAGCTTTTGTTTGCTTGCTTCCGCGTACATCGTACGGTGCATAGCTGCCGACAACTTTTGTAATCAACGGTAAGACTTCCTCGTATTCCCAATCTCAAAACAATAAATTGAAACGCCGTGTCTTCTCTGTTGCTGGTTCCTCACTCCCACCACCATGGCTGCGTCTGCGAGAATCACGGTTACAGCGATGGCAGTGATAGCTATAGCAATCACTCTCCAATGGGATTCATCTTCAGCTTCCGCTTCTACAGCGGGTGAGTTTGTCGACAAGACCATCTCTTCCCACAAGATCGTCATCTTTTCAAAGACCTATTGCCCGTGCGTACTCTCTCTTTCTCTCTTGATTAAGTTCATGGTCGATTTAAGTTGATCTGGTTGGTTTGATTTCAAACTTGATCTAATCTTATTTGAATATCCTCTAATGGTTGCTTATGTTTTGAATAGGACTTTAGGGATCTGATATTTTGGATCACATTATAATCTGTTTTTATGTTTGTATTAGCTCATTCTTTCTTTTTGTTTTTGGCTGGGCTCTGCACAATGTTTATATTCATAATCTTTGTTGATTACAATTGAGTATTTCTTAACTTCGCATAATAAACTGTTACTCTACCACAGTGAAAAAAAAAAATGCCCATTAAATCATGGATGGGGGTATTCATTGTTCTGTATTCTCTGATTTCTTTGTGGTATTTAGGTACTGTCAAAGAGCGAAAGCTGTTTTCAAAGAGTTGAACCAACAGACACATGTCGTTGAGCTTGATGAGAGAGGTATAATGAAAAGTTCAGCTTGCTTTTATTGTTTTTGCTATAGTTGGTTCTAGTTCTGATGGAAAAAATTAAGTGAAAACTTCACAATTGGCATTTATGAAAAGCAGGAATGGGTTAGCATCCCTTTTCTGGGATTGAAAGCTTTTGGGGGGAAAAGTAAAGTAGTATAAGTTGTGGAAGAAGACAATTTGCGTCTTACAGGAACTGCTTACTGTAGAGGGAGAGAAAACTGAGGAAAGGGTTTAAATTGAAACTGTTTCTTGATGGCATGTTTATGCTGTGTAATTATGTTTAGCGGTTTACTGCTGTTACTGAGAGAGTGAGACTTCTTTCTTTCAGATGATGGCTCGAAGATTCAAGATATCTTGACTAATATTGTTGGGAGGCGTACTGTGCCACAAGTTTTCATTAATGGAAAACATCTTGGAGGATCAGATGGTAAGTCTTTACTTAGTATGATTTTCATTAAACGAAGTATGATTTTCTTTAAATAAAGTATGATTCTCCTTGAAATTCTCTCAAACACTTGCTGATTTACTGATTTATTCAGATACCCTTGAAGCTTATGAGAGTGGACGTCTGGCTAAACTTCTTGGAATTGAGACAGAGGGTCATGATGATCTCTGAATCTGATTGTTAATTGGGGGAAACTCTATTAAGAAGGACGGATTGTATCATGTGACAATATGGAATCTTTACATATAAGGCCATGATTAGATTACATTTTGGCGCAGCTAAGGTGTTCATTTATATATAGTTTGATGAATAGTTCTCCATCTCCCCCCACCCTTGTTTCCATCTTTCGATACAATGGATTTTATTTTCCTTCTCACTCTATTTTCTCTCTTATTTTTTGAATTTTCACCTTATTCACCCGAGTATAATAATATGGAATGATTGTTCAGGAGTCAAGTGGGAATAGGGGGATGAAATGATAAGTTCATTACATTGTTTGGTTATTTTAGGAATGGAGTGATTATTCATTTTAATATGTTAGTGCGTAGAATCATCATGAAATATTTCAAAAAAAATAAAAAAAAATTAACTAACATCAGTTCTCCACAAATCTGCATTTTTCTTGAGATTTCATACTAAATCAAAAGCCAAGTCAGAGATAGACCCATGCAATTGCAGTTACAGCACGCGGCAACAGGAAATGGAAATCCTCTTGCTATGGCAAACTTCAAGGATACCCTCTAACCTACATACACATAACTCTCTTTCCCTTATAAGTAAATGCTTGACCAAAAGTTATCCTTCTCTCATAAACCTTTGTCAGACACATTTTAGCTTTGCTTTCAACTCTTCTCAGGTCTAAGCGTGGCTTCCTATTCCTCCCTTCTGATTAATGTTGACAATATACCCAATCTCATAATTCTCAATCTTCTTGTTGAAACTGATCAGAAGTTGTATGTTGTTCAAAATTTTGAACATAGGAAAAAAAAAAAAAAATAGCCTTGGGCTGTAAGTCTATACAACCTATGGGAAAACCCTTCACTCATTCATGAAGGTTCTTTTGGCCTCTTAAGGAGTATAATGTATAATACATCTAATCTGCTTTTATCCCTCTGGTTCTAGCTGGACTATTTTTATCGTGGTTATGGATAAAGGATCTTAGGCTCATGAGCTGTTTTTGGTTTCAGAGAACTATAGGGGTGAATTATGTCTTTAGGGGTACCCTTAGCAGCAATGCTATGAACCAAGGTTGTATAAGAGTTTCCCAGGTGCTATAAAGAGAGAGAGGGGGGGGGGGGGGGGGGGGGATGGTGTAAAACGATTACAATGACTCTCTATACTAGTAGAGTAGTAAGTGAATAGGGTGGTTCCTTCGATAGTGAACGGGGGTATTTATAGGTAGGTTGAGTTCCTTAAGTGTGGGAGAGAGAGCCAAGTCAACGGAGACAGAGCTGAGCCAATGTAGTCTGGCCTTGCTGGGACAAGGCATCCTACAACCATTGTCAAAATACAATGACTGTTATGTAGGGGAAAAGTGATGGGAAAATCTCGTCTAAGAAGTTGTGCGTCTTATGTTGGGATACCCTCTGTGGCAACACAAATATGGGCCAACAATACTGGACCTCTATTCTTGGGCCAACTAATTGGGCTAGCCAGAACAGAAGCCCTACAACTTGGTAGCTTATGAAGTCAGGGTGCTAAGATGTATGGGAGTTGTACTATGTCGGTCGGTAAATCATGATTATAGTTGATACAATTTGGCGGTCGGTTAGAACATTGTTGCGGGTTTTGAAAAATCTTCAGATGACATGTCAAAATTTCGGCGCAATGTTGCCACCTGAATCTGGTTGAGCTTTAATGACCGGACTGTCTCAAATTGTATCCAATGTTCAGTTCGCTTTATGTTATCAAGTTCGTCTTCTCCCATTATACATCTGGCCGTATGAGTAATAGTAGTGATCTCATGTCGGGCGAATTAAAGTAGTGCGAATTTTTCCAAAAACGTTTCTACTTATTGCTATATGGAATCTCACCATTGACCGTTGTGACAATTTTGTCCGTTTTCGGCTTAAAAAGTGTCTTCCTGATGTACTGTATGTTCCTGCATGGGTTGGCAGTTTAGTATTTGGTGGTTGATCGTGGCCATCTGTAAGCTTCTAAATTGGGGGTATTCCTCATTTTCGGACCTTATGATGAGCAGCTGTGGCAATTGGACTCCATTTGAGTTCTACTATGTCTGTCGGTATATCATGATTATGGTAGATACATTTTGGTGGCCGGTTAGAACATTGTTGTGGGTTTGAAAAATCATCAAATGACTTGTCAAACTTTCGGCATAATGTTGTGGCCTGAAACTGATTGAGCTTTAACAGCTGGACTGTCACGGATTGCATCCAATTTTCAGTTCACTTTCTGTTATCAAGTCTGTCTTCTCCCATTATACACCTGGGCGGTATGAGTCATGATAATGATCTCATGTCGGGCGGATTAAAGTAGTGCGGATCTTTCTGAAAAGTTTCTTCTTATTGCCAATTGGAATCCCGTTATTGACCATTGTGACAATTTTGTTCGTTCTCGGCATAAATAGTGTGTTGTTGTTGTATTGTATGTTCATGTTGCATGTGTTGGCAGTTTGGCATTTGGTTGCTAATCGTGGCCATGTGTAAGCTTCTAGGGGGTATTCCTCACTTTCGAACCTTATGATGAACGGCTGTGGCGATTGGACTCTGTTTGAGTTCTACTATATCGGTTAGTATGTCATGATTATCGTGGATACAGTTTGGCACCCGGTTAGAACATTGTTGCGGGTTTGGAAAATCTTCAGATGACTTGTCAAACTTTCGGTGCAATGTTGTAGCCTGAAACTAGTTGAGCTTTAATGGCCGGACTGTTTCAGATTGTATCCAATATTCAGTTCGCTTCTTGTTATCGAGTCTGTCTTCTCCCATTATACATCTGGGCAGTAGGAGTAATGGTAGTGATCTCATGTCGAGTATATTAAAGTAGTGTGAATTTTTCCGAGAAAGTTTCTTCTTATTGCCATATGGAATCCCGCCATTGGTCGTTGTGAGTATTTTGTCCGTTCTCGGCTTAAAAATTTGTCCTGTTGTACTGTATGTTCTTGCTGCATGGGTTGTCAGTTTGGTATTTAGTGACTGATCATGGCCATATGTAAGCTTCTAAATGGTGGGTATTCCTCATTTTCAGACCTTATGATGAGCGGCTGCAGAGATTAGACTTTGTTTCGTGTGCGCATTAAATGCGATGTAAGGTTGCTTTGTCCTCTCAAGAATTATGGAATTGCCCTTCAATCTTCATCATTGGTTCAAATTGCTTTTTTGATCTTATGGTTCTTCGACGGTTTCATATTTAAAGAGGTTTTTCCCTCTTCTTCTTCATTTTGAAACCTTAGGGGCTTCTCTTTTTGAACTTTAAGTCTTTACCTGCACCCCTTCATCTTCAAACTTTACTCTTTTTGTCTTTCTAGAGTTACACTTTTCGCTCACTTCTTTTGACACATCTTTGTTTTGGTTTCTTTCTTTTCACCGTGTGCTCTTGAAGGGTTTGTCTTGGGTTCGGCTTCATTACCTCTTTCTTTTTTCTTTTTCTTTTGAATACTACTTTACTTCCTTCCTGTAGCGTCTTGTAGCTTGTTTTTCATCTGAGTAGGGTTCGTCTAGGAGTTGTTGGGTTATTTTTAGTGTTTTTCCTTATGTATGTTTTCTGTTGTCTGAAATGCTGAAGATAGAAAAGTTAGACTTTGATGTAGATGAAGTAAGTATTGGACCTTGGATGCGCGAACTGCTTGTTCACCGAGACGAGTTATGGGTAGGATAATGGAGGTTGTCCATGGTCTTCCTCCATCACCCACCGTGGTGGAGCATGGTGAAAGTAGCCATCGTAGTGGTAAAATGAGTGGTGGTTCCTGAAGTGTTTCGATGCCTGGGACATGGGAGAGGCTTTTCAGGAGGATTCCTACATTGATAGGCTTCTTGGAGGAGGCGATTCACGATCTTTTGTCTCCACAACATTCACGTCGTGGTGGTTTCGTCAAAAGAGGGCAACCAGGGAATTCTAAGGTCCGTGGCGGTCAAGTGGATCGCCCTATTAGTCGCTCGATTTCTCGCTCTAGGCATACCATATACTCACGTCTTGTTAGTAATATTAACCAAGATACTAGAAATTTCCCCTTACAAGTAGTATGTCGGTCGCCTGTGCTTCCACCCGTTCTTAGCAGAACAGTCGATGATATCCTTCCTAAGCCGAAATCTTTCCATCGACAAAAATGGACGAGTCAATAGATAACCGGGAATACAGATTTCACCCTGAAGATGCCTGGTTAAAGAATTATGATATCTGGGATGCCATCACTAAAGAATTAAGGCTAGATAGGGTTCCTCTTGCATGGTGGCCTAGCTCTTTGATCAGTTCTAAGTCTAGCTCTTGTTCTATAGATTCTTCAAATTTTTTAGGTATGCCTTACTCTCCGTATTCAAACTTGTTTCCGTCTTGGTCGGTTGGTATTTCTTTGGGTGAATTGCATAGGGTGTTTGGTCTGGCTGGCAAGGGTAGTGGAGGTTCATTCGCGATTGGCCTGAGTTGGCCACAATGGCTGGTCTAAGTCCTAGAGACCCTCAGAAAGAACTTGGCCCTCTTTCTCCCCCTCTTCCCAGGCTTATCTATCAGCTTTTTAACAACTTCTTAGCGCTTTGGGGAGATATTAGCTGGCCAACACATTTAATGGAGAGGACCTGGGCGAACATTAAGGTTCAGTTTACCCTTTTTTTTTACATATGGGACTATTCTAGAAAATACGTATAATTCCGAGAGAAATTTTTGGCTCACAGACGGGGGTGCTGATGTCAAAAAGTGGATTATCTATTTGGTCACCGAGGGAACTAAAGTTTGTGACCAAGCTAGTTCGAGTGGGATTGTAGAGCCTTCATTTTTCAGGTATAAGAGCTATTTTACTAATATTAAGATCGGTCTACCTTTTACCGAATTTGAAATGGGGATCTTGCGTCATTTGGATGTGGCGCCCTCCCAAATTTATTTGAATGCTTCTGGTTTTATCCGGGCGTTGCTATTTGTTTGCGATTACTTCATGTGGGACTATAGTGTTCTCCTTTTCTTTCATTGCTTCTCAATTGCTACTTCTGCTCGGAAAAGTTTCTGGATGTGTTCAATAATTCTGGGTCTGTTAAAAAAAGATTCTTATAAACATTTCAGAAAAGATTACTTCTAGGTGTGTTCCAATCCCGAAAAGAATGCAAATCTTTTTTTCAACAATCCTTTAACCGATCGGACCCGATTCCACTTGTTTTGGAACAAGGAGCACTATATTTTCATGTCTCAGAATTTTCAATCAAGTATAGCTCT